GAATAACGAAATGGTCCATTGAAACAAGTAATAGAAAAAGCTGATTCTTATTTTCGTTATGTTGATGATATGTTTATTATTCTTGATGTGAAAGCTGACATGAATGAAATGTTAAAAAAGTTTAATGATGCACATCCCTCGCTCATCTTCACTTGTGAAGAAGAACATGATGGTAGACTACACTTCCTTGACGTCCAATTGAGCAGAAGAGAGGATGGTTCACTCAAGAGAGATGTCTATAGAAAACCTACATCTGTAGGACAATATACACATTTCCTCAGTTTTCTACTAATCCGATACAAAATCAATTTGGTCAAATGCCGCCTCACGAATAGAGCAAGACGTATCTGTACAGATAACTCCCTAGAAAATGAGTTAGGATACATCCAAAAAATACGTTGGTCCAAACGGGTTATACTAGTAGATTTCTAAGGAGACACATGAACACCAAGTACAATAAAGAAAAACCGACAACAGTTAAAAAGAAACAACTGTTCATGAAATTGCAATTTAATGGGGACGTGGCTAGCGAAGTCTTACATCTGAGATTATCGAGAACGACAAAAACGGACTTATACTGCCACCCCCTTTGTCTGTCATCTTCCAGCTAACGACCAATTATGATTGCTCAAGCAAGCTACCTAGCCGTGCCACTTCTATGTGTATCTATAAATTTAGTTGCTCCTGTGGAGAGGGCGAACAACTAGACAGCTTAACAAACGCACTAATGAATATCTTCCTTCATGGTTCGCAAAGGGCTAAATAAAATCTATAAGAAGTTCTACTTTGGCTCATTTGATTGATGATAGTGGTCACCAAGTGGACAAAAATAGTGCCTTTTAAAGTTATCTATCGCATTCCATAGAGCCTTTCAAATGGAATTCGAACTCGTCTTTTACACATAGCCGAAGAATCTATGGGAATTAATTCGAGAGAACAATCCCAGTCTTTGCATACAAAAAAGTTTGTTCTGCCTTTGTCTCTCCCTTGGCCTAGGTGAATTCTAATGAAAACCCTCTCATCCTTTCTTATTTTCCATCTCCTTCGTATTTTTTTGATATTTATTTAAACTCTGATGATCTGTCCACTTCACCCTTAGTATTACATAAATTTTAAGATGTGACCTAATTTATCTATTGAATTGTCTACATATACACACATATTACTATCTTTGTTATTCTTATTGCCACCTGCATAAACCTTATTATCAATATCTTGTAATCATTATAATCGTCGTTATTAACGACGTTAAAACATTTACCACAATATTATTATTATTATTTGATCCACAAACTCACCATCATTGATTAAAAAATTTTATGCATTAATCTATGTAAATTAGAGTAAAGCCTGAAGATCTAATTGAAAACAACAATATTCTTCGCTTATATGTCTGGTTCTAAAATTTAGGTAAAGTTAAAAGGACATATTGAAGGTCGGAATAACAATGGAGATCACTAAACCAAATAACAGAGGTAATAGTACATCTCCCCTGGCTGGTATCAAAACAAAGTTTACCAAGGACGGTTTAGTATGATGACGAATTGTTGCTTTGGTCGCATAAAGGTGGTTTAAACTTTCTCATTGCTAGGGTGTCCACATACTACAGGATACGCCCCAAACACGTTTTATAGATAGGTTTAAAAGATGTGTTAACGTCAATTTTCTGTCCAATCTGTGTAATATGTTTCGCAATAAAGGAGCTAGGTGTCCTGTTCTCACCACTAATGGGTTCTGAGGATTCTATTTGCTTCTGGAGCCATTTAGGAATATGCTCTGAAGCCAGCCCTGACTTGCAGAGATCAATGAGTCCTCCCTATGTGTGTGTCCACACGCACATTCAAGTTGGTGAATACAGTGGGGTGTAACGTCATTTTTCTCCTGTTCAAAGGGCTTATATGGATATATTGGCTTCACATTCTCAATTATTATGATATTAGTTGTGTAAAAAGTCTTTTTTAACAGCAGCGTTCAATTTTTGTTTAGTTGTTAAGCTGCTATGATGCCCCATATAGGGTAGCTTGATGTACATGTCTTACGGTTGAGGTTGAAGTAGGTTTTCGGTTACGATATGATCAGCGTCAAGACAAGGTTAGAGTGACGCTTTCAATGACGATAGCATCCCTTTGAAATGTTAAGTATTGTGACGACATAGTCATCAGAATTTTTGGATCTTAAAATGAGTACTCATACAAATTCTGTTGAAGGATTTTAGGCAGACTATTTTTTTATTTTTGATTACAGCTTGATTTCACACCGTATTTTTGGTACAGGTATGGAATTTTCAGCATGCGATATCGGTAGCCCAAATTTTGCAGGCCAACCATAGATATCAGGTGTGCGTCGTCGGCAGGGGATCAAACCTCGGACCATGTGGATGGTCGGCGAGAGTCCTAACCACTGTGCCATCGACGCACACACTAGAATGGTATATGTCTGTAACTACTCCTATTAAAAAATTAGAGACCTATTTTTACAACACATTAGAAGCATATTCATTGTACAATTCATTTTTATAATGCATATATAGCCTGTAAATATACTTTTTATACTAGAATGCCACATTTCTCACCTAGGAGAATATTATTATCATACCCTTGGTTACCGAGTGGAACGTAGGGCTGGCTACAATAACACAACTTCACTATCCTCTATTTTCTACCATCCTCTTCAGCTGGGTCTACAGTTGTCCAGACTCTCTCATCTCTCTTCTTCACACCATCTCCTCTATGTCACCCTCATAATGACGACCCACTTGTCGCTTTCCATCATTTGGATTCCACTCGAGTACCTGGCGTGTGTGATTTCATTCAACGGTTTTCTCAATGTACACCCGTGACCAATCCTTCGCCCATTTTTCTCATACATATCTATTTGAGCAACAGGCTCTTGGTTGGTTTGTTCCAATCCTTTGTGGCCTTTGGATATTCAGTATGGAGCCAGCCGGCGTAGTGGGCAGATGTTGATGAAAGTCTGCAACAAACTGTTGGAAATCCTTTTCGTGACACTCCAGCCACACACCCTGTGGGGTAGATGTCTTTTGATGAAATTCTGTGGATATCGATCCATTCTTGTAGAAGATGTTCATGAGATATCTTTCTTCAATTTTTTCCTTAAGGTGGGAGTGCTGAGATGAATCCTGGCTGGCCCTCTTGATGAATAGTGTTTGTAATTGCAGAATAATGCATCATAACATAACACAGTATTCATATGAGATCTAAGGACATCTCAAGAAAAGGAAAGAGGAGTCAACTCCAAAAGGTACATCACACACAAGCGATAGAATTAGAGACTGTTGTTGCATCTGTTGGTATGGATGTTGCAAGCAGTTTGAAGTTAACACGTTTACACTGTAGATAAGACTGTTCTTATCGCTAAAATTGACTCAGAAATTAAAAATAGAAATTTCGTTATATACATATCAGCAAAATACTTACACAGCTTCTCAAATAGATTAGACACTGGAAATTACACCTCAGAGGACGGTAACAGAAGTCGATGATCTATTATGAAACATGAAAGTGATGGAAAGTTTCATTTCCTTGACATCCCTATACAACACCAGAAAGCTGATTTTTTTATTTTCTTCACGTTCCCAGTGGAACATAGAGCACCTTTAAGCTAGTGGCTTGAAGTTTCTGTAGCAGTGTTTAATTTTACAGGATGGGGTTGCTAGCCTCATGCCCAACCTTTCCTCTTTACCAGCATTATTTCTTGCTTAACGAGGTAGAGACGTGCGGCGTCGGCCAGGGATCGAACCCTGGACCATGTGCATGGTCGGCGAGTGTGCTAACCGCTATACCTCCAGAAATCAATTTACCGAAAGCCTGCATTACATGGACAATACAGACACTCTCATAGTTTTTTTCCAGATGGCTATAAGTGAGTATTGGTCAAAACTTTGTAGTATACAATCAGTGGAATATGCTCTACACAGAAATTACAGGAAGAATTTCTAACTTTCAAGTATTGGTTTCGTATGGACTTTGTTTGATTGCATGGAGGATTTCACCATGAGCCGACATCATTTAGAAAACCACTGGAGAACCAGGGAGTGCTAGACGGCTGTTTCGTCACACTAAGTTGGGACTCTTCATCAGTACGCACCCACACCACGGGGTTCGAACCCAGGACCTTCTGGTTACAAGGCGACCTCGTAGACCAATGAGCCACTGGGACCAGATCCAATGATCCTTGAATTCTAACTTCTGCCAATTCACGACCAACCAAAAGGTCCTGAGTTCGAACCCCTCTTGTGGGTGCGCACTGATGAAGACTCCCAGACTAGTGTCATGAAACAGCTGTCCAGTACTCCCAGGTTTTCCAGTGGTTATCTAACTGATGTCAGCTCATGTAGAATTTGCAGGATCACCAATGGTCACTTTGAGATGGGGTTACGCAGTCACAATCGCAATGGTAAACAAAGAGAAACAGGTGGACATCAGCGAGCGCCGAGATCCCAGACAGCAAGACAAACGAACAAATCCCCTAGAACCAAGAAGACCGAACCAACTTCAGTCGCAAGTCTTTGACGGGGGGACGAGCATGGTGAGAGCTGACTGCTAGACAAAATTGGTAGACAGTTATTTACGTTAATGTATACATCCCCAATATTGGTCGTGAGAAAAATAAGAACAAAGACTGATTCAACAAGCAGTCACAGCAGAATTTGCGTAGGCGCATACAATTTGTAGATAGACAATCTGAACTTCAAGAAACAGCAAGAAACAGCGGGAAACCACCAATCAGAAGACTGTGTTTGTTTGCTTAAAATAATCTATAATTATTATAGATTCTGTCGAAAACAGACAGACAGAATCTATAATAATGTACATGAGAATCTACAAATATGTGCTGATTTCTTAAATAAACGATCTGTCGCCTGGCCCTTGTCTTCTGTTTTTACAATACTATTTCACACTGTATCATTAATTATACCTGATTGTGTTTATTTTATTGTATTTTCAAGCCTGATTATTGTGTACACTTTTTCACTTCAGGCTGTTGGAAAGTTGGACACATTTAGAAGTGAAGATTGTCGAAAACAATCACTGGAAATGCACAAAAGCAGCAGAATTTCACGTGCTGGACTATTTGGTCACGGGATACAACGTACTGGAGAATGTGCTTAAAATACTATACACACATATACACTCTCTCTCTCTCGTATAACACAAGATCACTTAAATTAGGCAACCGAAATATCATTCACACTGTCGGAAAACTGAGAATCATTCAACTTAAAGAAATATGTGTTTTTTTTTAAATATAATCCCTACTATGCAGACTTATGTGTCTTCACTATTATTAGCATTAGAACTAAGCACATTATTTTCTTAAGTCAATGCAAGAACTGGAGCGGAATTATGCTCCTGTTCATCCCAAGAAAAATACTAAGCCGAATCATCCTATAGAGAATCAAACACGCCACCCTGGATGAAAAACTTCGACCGGAACAGGCTGGATTCAGGAGAAACAAGTCATGTATTGATCAAATCGCCACACTACGGATCATCATTGAACAAAGCTTGGAATGGCAGTCACCTCTCCACCCTACTCAACTTCGTCGACTTTGAAAAGGCCTTCGACAGCGTCGACCGAGAGGTCATTTGGCAACTAATTCGCTACTACGGGGTGCCATCGGCAATTATACATCTCATCCAACAGTTATACGACAATACTGCATGTCAAGTAATCCACAACGGGAAACTTACGGAATCTTCCGAAGAAGTGAAGATGGGAGTAAGACAAGCTGGCTGCCTACTGTCGCCAATGATTTTTCTGATTCCAGTAGATTGGATAATGCGACAGAGAGAGAGAGCGGGCATAAAATGGACTCACACAAAAAACTTGGAGGATCTGGACTTCGCCGATGATATATGTCTGATTTCCCACTAACTGGAACATATGCAAGTGGAAAGTAACAAGTTGGCAGAAGCAGCATCAAAGATAGGACTTCAGGTGAACATGGAGAAAAGAGAGTTGATGAAGATTCCTGGCCAACACCAACAGCAACAACAACAGACAACAATCAGCCAGCACACATGGGAGGAACCTGAAAGAAACAACCTCTTTTACAGGCGGACGGAACTGATGAGAATATCAAAGCAAGGATCGTGAAAGCAAGACAAGCTTTCATTACTCTCAAGTCTGTGTGGAGACCAACTCTCAACACTCAGTATGAAAAATAAGATCCGGATTTTCAACTCCAATATGAAGTCAGTGCTAATATACGGATCAGAGACTTGGCCAGCGCGTCATAAGGAGCACCTCAAACAAACCACAGACCTTCATCAACAGCTGTCTGTGCTCAATACTCAAGATCAGATGGCTGGTCAGAAAAGATCAGAAACAGGAGTCTCTAGGAGCGAATCAACCATCAAGTGACATCACTAGACAAGCCCTCAAGTGGAACCCGACCGAAAGGGAAGCGGCGAGTTGGTCGTCAGTGCAAGGGTGACTTGGAGGAGGTCATGTGAAGAGGAGATGAAAGCATGTGGGCAGACTTGGAGCCAGATGAGGACTTTAGCGGAGAACAGAACGCAATGGAGACGAGCAGGTGAAGCCCTATGTTCCTCTAGAAATTAAAGGAAACAATAATAATAATGATAATTTACCTCATTTACGTGACAACCTCTTTACACTCTTAATTTCATATAGAAGAGAACAACAGATCAAGGCAATTAATGTTTTTTTATTAGAAAGTCTACGATATATACGTATATATATACATGAAAATACTCAAGTTAAATTAATTAAATCATACGTAAAAAGAGAAGTAACGTTTACACAATGCGAAATAATTGAAAATAAACTGAAAAGTTACTTACTAGCTAATGAATATGCTTTTTTAGCCTGTGCAAAAACAGTCCAATATAATGATGTAATATTATTATGTCATATTATCAGAAAGACTAGAGAAGAAAAATACCTAACATAACAGTACTGTAATCATGTATTATGTATAAATACTTTTATCACAAGTTCTTCTTATCCTCATCTGACGAACTGGCCGTCGACTTACATTGACTCCCCACTGTACCAGACTTCTTTTTCTGACTAGTATACATATCATTCAATGAAAAAGCACTGATTATATTCTCCCAGGTGAAAATGAACTTCTGGATAGCTTTTTTCGAGGTATTAATGATAGCTGGTCGTCGTGTCAACTCACGACCTTGACGAAAGAGAATAAGTGTAGGCAATTGTTTCGACCAACTCGATGTGTCAATATTATACTTGACACTAATATCTGGATAACGAATCACATCCAGTTTACCAAATTTCAATGTATCTGACCCGTATTCTTCAGATAATTCAGCAAATACTGGCTGTAATTTAGTACATGCAGGTGACCAGATTGTATAGAAGGCGATAAGCCAGGTTACTTTTGGATTACCGTGGATAACTTCTTTCTCAAATGTAGTATCACGTAAGTACATCACTTTATCAGGTCCATTGTAGACAGGTTGTTGTAAAAAACATCCTTGTATTAACCATAAAATACCATAGCAAACAGAATAGACAACATTCTGTTTCCAAAACATTAAAAGATTAATGACTTTAGCGAACATATAAAAGTGGGCAAGATAATCAGGGATGGAGAATTGTCGTTTATTTCGTAAGGCAACAAAACTGCCTAAGCAGATGAGCAGTTCATATTCTTGTAGATCAATATGACAGTCTTCATACATCCATGTACAAAACACGGGTACAGTTTTTGTAATGAAAAATAGAATACTTAAGAGCATATTGACAATATAGTAGGGATGAAGTAATTGTTTTAAATCCCGTTTGTGTTTCATCTATAACAAAAAGCACAGAAATATGTGAGAGAATTACATTATAAACACAACATAACCAAAAAAACCTACAATGCTAATGGAGTCGTTATAAATTAGATTAATAATACTGAGGATGATATTTCCCTGAAGCACTAAAAGTGGACCCAGAGACGACAGCAGATATGCTGACTCCATTATTGCAAAAGGTCTGACTGGAGGGAAGGTTACCGGCTGACAATGGATAGTGGACTCCTTACTCCACTCCTACTACCTTGTAGGTCACACTTGGCTGTGTAAAGGCTAGAGCTGCACTCTCAAACAAAAGGCCGAGCGATGCTGGGGACATCACTCGTACCAAATTCCCATGAAACTTCATGAACTCTCTTACAAATAACTCTCACCATGCTACGGCGTTCCCGGTAAGCGACGCGCCCTGTGCTCACCCGGTGGCCAGTGTGAAAAGTAAGCCAGCTGGGAAATTAACACTTAGAAACCAACTATTTGTTGGCTGCTGGAATGTTAGGACGCTGTTGGATCCTGGTAGCCAGTCTATCACCATGCGTTCTTTATACGACTACAAGGTGGACATAGCGTGTCTATCTGAAGTGAGGTTACCCGATCATGGCTCCCGCCGAATAGCCGTACCTGGAACAGATTCTTCATTCTGGTTGCTTCATAGTGGACCCCAGAATAATTCGGGACAACATGGGGTAGCATTTGCTCTCAGTAACAAAGCCAATAATGCCCTAATATCATTCGAACCGGTCAACTCCAGAGTTGCAGTCGCTAGGTTCAAGGGTTTCCCGCTCGACATTTCTGTTCTCGCTGTCTATGCCCCAACCCTCGACTCTGATGAAAGTATCAAAGACGAATTTTATGACAATCTTCAAGAGGCAATCAACAAAATCCCAAAGCGTGACGTTCTCATAGTAGCCGGCGATTGGAACGCCCGCACTGGCCCTTCAGACGACGCGACAAAACATATACTAGGCAAACACGGTCTCGATCAGCGCTGCCGTAATGGTGATAGACTTTTAGCTTTTTCTGATTACAATCGATTATATATCACCAACACTCGATTTCAACACCCTAGAAAACATCTTCTCACCTGGTATTCGAACGACGGTCGCACTGCACATCAGATCGACTACATCCTAGTGCGCTCACGCTGGATCTCCTCGGTGGAAGACTGTCGATCCTATCGTGGCGCAGAGGCCGGAAATAAAGGGGGATCAGACCATACTCTAGTTCGGGCGAAATTCAAACTTCGTTTAACAACACGCCAGAATGCGCGACCTCCGAAGCGTATCAATGTTGCCCCGCTTCAATGTTCGACAAAGCGACAAGCCTTGTCCAAACAAATCCAGGCCGAACTAAGCGCCGCAGATGAACCAACATCCACATCTTCTAATACACCTGAGACACGATGGAATCATTTCAAAGAAGTAGTCTCTAAAGCTTCAATGTCGCATTTGGGTACCACATCCAAAAAGCAGAAAGACTGGATTTCAGAGCACACCATGCATCTATCCTCGCAAGCCAGAGACGCTCGCCTAGCAAAGTCTCCAGTTTATCGCTCCCTCAGGCGCAAAGCTACACAGTCTGCTAGGAATGACAGAAATCGCTATTGGTCTAATGTGGCGACTAACATGGAAGCAGCATCAAATGTAGGCGATTTCGGAAAACTTTATCGCCTCATACGCCTATCATCTGGCAAACGCCTTAACAGTCATGCTGTGTTACGCACAGCATCAGGAGAAATTATTTCGGACACCAATGGTAAGATGGAACGATGGGCCGAACATTTCAAGCAGCTACTCAATCGCAACGCTGGTCAACCGTCTCATCGACCGATACGACACTTACCAACACCCTACGTAGTTGACTGCGATCCACCCACTCCAACCGAAATAGCTAAAACAATTAACAGACTCAGAAACAAAAAAGCTCCGGGCGAAGATGGTCTACCTCCAGAAATATACAAGGCCTGCACTCCAGCGCTAATCGATTCGCTGCACTCGCTGTTCTGCTCAATTTGGGAGTCCGAAACCATTCCTTCCGATTGGAGCACCTCAGTTCTGCTACCGTTCCACAAAAAGGGAGACAGGTCACTATGCGAGAACTACCGAGGCATAAGTCTGATTGATATCGCTGCTAAGGTTTTTGTTTCCATTCTCCTGAACCGCTTCGCGGCCGAACGCCACGTGCGAACAAGGCCAAATCAAGCCGGATTTCGACCTGGAAGAGGCTGTGTTGATCAATTATTCACACTGCGAAGAATTTTGGAACACAGGGACAAATTCCAACAGCCGACGGTTGCTTGCTTCATCGACTTCCGAGCGGCATTCGACTCAGTTGATCGAGGAGCACTCTGGTATCTAATGGAGCTCGACGGAGTTCCGACCAAGCTAATCAACCTGCTCAGGTCATACTACTCCAACACCAAAGCTCGAGTCCGAGTGAACGGTGAAGAGTCTCGCACTTTTGAGGTAACCAGCGGTGTCCGGCAAGGTTGTCCAGCATCCCCCATCCTGTTCAATTTCACAATCGATTGGATTTTGCGGCACGCCCTAACCGAGCACCACGGCGTCCAACTTTCGCCCGATATTCACATAACCGACCTCGAATTCGCCGACGACGTCGTGCTATTAGCTGAAAACTTCCCCGATATGCAACAGGCGCTCGACCAGATAAACCACCTCGCGCCTACTATCGGTTTGAAAATTAACACTTCCAAAACCAAAATGTTTTCGAACACATCCACCAGCAATGATGAAATCTTATCCCTGAATGGAGCACCTATTGAAATTGTGCCATCCTTCAGATATCTGGGATCCATAATGCTCCCCAACGTTCAAGCGAAAAACGAAGTGAATGCGCGAATCTCCAACGCCCGGAATGCGTTTCTACAGCTGAGGAGCGTTCTATGGAGCAAGAGAGAAATCAGTCTCAGGACTAAAATTCGGGTCTACCAAGCTTCCATACGACCCGTTCTCCTGTATGGCTGTGAAACCTGGCCTCTTCGCGCGGAAGATTTACGCAGACTCGAGGTAGTAGACCATTGGTGCCTCAGGTACATTCTACATGTTCGTTGGCAGGACAAACTCTCCAACGAAGAAGTGCGTCGTCGTTGCTACAACATCAACCAAATTCCAGTACTGGTCCAACAACGTCGCCTTCGGTGGTTTGGCCATGTTCTGCGCCGACCAGATGACGATCTGGTCAAATCAGTTCTAAATCCCTCGCCATTACCATCTTGGCGATGTCGCAGGGGTGGACAGCTGAAGACATGGCTTGGTACAGTCAAGGCTGATATGGAGTGCCTGGGGCTACAAACCGTCTACGGACTCCGTATGTGGAACAAGAATTGGATATCCCTGTCGCAAAACCTTGCATCAGATCGCCGCGCCTGGGCAGCGATGATTCGAGACGTTCATGAAGCCGGCTCATCCTCCCGTAGGAGATAGCCGAAGTAAAGTAAAAGTAGTAAGTAAGGTTGCCTCGTGAAACTACCAAAGAAGGGAGACTTACGCCCCACTCTGCAAGAACTGGCGAGGAATAATGCTCCCGTCAACGCCAAGTAAAATCCTGAGTCGCATCATCCTGTAGAGAATAAAGGACGCACTGGATACAGAATTCCGCTCCACTGGAACAAGCTGGATTCAGGAAAGGCAAATCTTGTCCTGACCAAAATGCAACTCTACGCATCATCATCACAGAACAAAGCATGGAATGGCAATCAAACCTCTACCTCAACTTTATTGACTTTGAGAAGGCCTTCGACAGTGTTGACCGCGAAGTAATTTGGAAACTACTCGAGTACTACGGCGTACCCCAAATATTCGTCAACCTTATTCAACAGCTGTACGACAACGGCGGAACATGTCAAGTGATCCACAACGGAAAACTCAGAGAGGCGTTTGGAGTAAACACAGGAGTCAGACAACGGTGCTTATTATCTATCACCAATGATATTCCTAATTGTAATGGACTGGATTAAGCGTCAGAAAGTGGGAGACGGAAAGACAGGGATATAATGGGCCGACGTGAAGAACCTAGAAGGCCTGGATTTCGCGCGTGGATGATTTATGTTTGATGTCACACAAAATCGAAGATTTACAAGCGAAAACCGACAAAGTGGTCGAAGAAGCAGCCGGCGAAGGCAAGACTCCAAGTGAACATAGACAAGACGGAGGTTATGAAAATAACCAACCAACCAACAACAGCACCAACATCCAGCGCTAATCACTATCAACGGGAGGGATATGAAAGAGATTACTTCATTCACTTATCTAGGGAGCATTGTCACAACTACAGGCAGTCGGAACGGACGAAGAAGTCAAATCGAGCGAGAATCGGGAAGGCGAGAAACACATTCATCAGCCAACCTGAAACCAATCTGGAAATCTTCTTCATTTCTCAGAATCAACAACAAAATTCAGTCGGATTTTCAGTACAAACGTCAAATCAGTCAGCTCTTCTTCTATACGGATCAGAAACTTGGCGGGCGGGTCACAAAAAATATTTCCAACAGTCTGTTGCACACCTTTATCAACCAACAACTGTCTTCGCTGGCTCTATACTGAAAATCAGATGGCCGGGCCGGAAATAATCACCAACTATGGGAAACTATGGGGGCAAACAAAACAAGAACCAATCGCCCAACAAATATGCAGGAGAAAGTGCATGGAGATGGATTGGACACTCGCTGAGGAGGCGGCTGGGTGACATCGCACGCGCGTCAGGCCATTGCTCGAGTGGAACTGGAAAGGGAAGCGGCGAGTGGGACGACAGTGCAAGGGTGACATGGAGAAGATCGTGTGAAAAAGAGTTGAAACACTATGGACTAACATGGATGCAGGTGAAAAGTACAGCAGAAGGAAGACAGAAGCAAGTGGAGACGTGCAGTTGAAGCCCTATGCCTCCAAAGCCTCAGGATGGTCGGGGGTGGGTGCCTTGCGCTGCGGGTTGGCCACCCCTCCGCACACCTCTTGAAATGCTCCCATATGACCGGGCGTCTT